CACACACACACACACACACACACACACACACACACACACACACACACCCCAAATAGCGAAGAAGCTCATTTATCTAAATTGACAGAAAAACGGAAGTCAGGGAAGGTAAAACTAGGAGAATATGTACCAGAGTATACAGAATGAAGAAGGTCTCCCAATGGGAGTGAAGTATCTCAGCTTAACCAGTGAGGAGCCCCATACCAGGGGGTTACACAGGTTTACAAAGTACTTTCCTGACAACCAACCTATGAGATAAGGGATATAACATTATCCTCATTTCACAGAGAAGGAAAACTGATGTTCAGAGAAGAATGTGACCAAAAAGAACTAAAGAGAGAATAAAAAGACTAGAGGAGGCAGTCTGGAGTGGTCCACAGAGTGTCGAGCCTGGAGACAGGAGACTTGAATTAGAAACTCTCTTCAGACACTTACTAGCTGGGTGACCCTGGGCAAGTCATTCCCCCCCTCCCTGCCCCCCGAAGCTCAGTTTCTTCATCTGTAAAAATGGGGATAAAATGAAGAAGTAGAAAAATATGTTGTTGTTCTTTAGTTGTGTCCGATTCTCCGTGACCCCATTTGGGGTTTTTTTTGGCAAAGATACTGGAGTGGTTTGCCATTTCCTTCTCCAGTTCGTTTTACAAAGGAGAAAACTGAGGCAAATAAGGTTAAGTGACTTGCCCAGGGTCACATAGCTAGTAAGCGTCTAAGGCTGGATTTGATCTCAGGCAGAGAAGTCTTCCTGACTCAAGCCCCAGTGCTTTGTGCACTATAGCACCAGCTAGCTGCCTGAACAGTATAGTTATTCAGTCAAAGGGCTACACTTGAGGACACAAGTTCCCCACCCAGGGCTAGTTGGTAAGAATGCTGACCTGGGAATCAGGGCCACCTGAATGCAAATCCTGATTCTAATGCATACTGGTTGTGAGACCCAAGGCAAGTCATCAAGCCCCCTGGGGCTCCCAGGCAACTCTCTAAGACCATGAGGTGCACAATATGCTGCTGATCTGCTTTGGTTTTCCCCTCCAGAAGCATCATATGGCCATGAAATCACAGGCCTAGAATTAATAAAAACAACAACAACAACTTGAACTAACTGGGTCCTATGGGGTATTGTAAGGCTAGGAGCTTGCAGACTAAAAAAAGGCACTCCTCTTCATTAAGGGGATCATCATGGCCCACTCTAGTGGTTTCCAAGATTCAGAGAATAGAGTTAACTAACCAACATGACACAATCAAACACTACAAGTTGGGTTTTGTTCAGAGATAGTAGATGTGCTGAGATTAAAATCTTTCATTTAGCTATTTAGGGACTATTCTGATTGATAATTTTTCCAGAAACACTCATAGAGAAGTGCTGGTGGCCATTTCAGACTCCCAGATTGAATCTCAGAAACCGTTCTGAGGAGGAGGAAAAGGAGTCATCCAAAGACCTGTGGGAGTACAAAGGGAACTCACTGACTGACTTAGATTTTGTGATGAGCTGAGGTATAGTGGAAGGCCCCCTTAAAGTTCAGAATAAGGTTTGGTGAGGAAAGCTTTATATAACAAAAAGGGTTTGGGCTAATTTTTTTAAACCTATATTGAGAAGAGAATGATCAAAGAAGGGACAGAAAAGATTGGAAAGTGACAACAGATGATGAAAAGAATGCAGAGGTGTTCAATTCTTGTGCTTCTCCTTTCTCTGTCAAGCTGAATGATCTTTGGATTGTAGAAGAGAACAGAAATGGCCAAAGGGCAGGGCAGCTAGGTAGTGGGTTGGATAGAGTATTGGCCCTAGAGTCAGGGGGACCTGAGTTCAACTCTGGTCACGTTTACTAACCCTGCGACCCTGGGCAAGTCACTTGTCCCCATTGCATACAAAAAAAAAAAAAAAGAAAGAAATGGCCAAAGGGAAGTTAAAACTCCAGATAAGGTGAGGGGTGGCGAGAGAGCATCAGGAGGCTCCTGAGTTCAAGTCACGAGGCCCAGATGAGCCACATGGGAGGGAGGGGACCCAAAGAACTGTCTGATCTGATCCCTGAGCCACCAGCAATCTTTGAAAAATCCTGAGGGATGAGAGGCCGCAGGATTAGAGTAGGCAGGTGTTGTCCTCAGTTTCAAGAAAGGAGGAGAGTGAAGCCTGCAAACTACAGGCCAACGAACTTAACTTTCTTGCTGGCAAACTTTTAGGGGCTATTAAAGGGATGGCTCATGGGCATCTAAAAAGAAAACAGTCATCCCAAAGAGCCATCACGGTGTCTTTAAGACTTAACTGGTTTCCTTTTTGGATGGGGGGGGGGTCACTAAACTGTCGGATCAGGGGAGGGCTGGAGAGATGGATTGCTAAGATCTGACAAAGGTTTTCAGGTTCTTCTTATGGGTCTGATGCTTGCCCAATAAGGGGACTTTAGAAGGTGGTGAATGTTGTTGAGTCATTTCAGTTGTGTCCAACTCTCCATGATCCCATTTGGGGTTTTCTTGGCAAAGATACTGGAGAGCTTCGCCATTTCCTTCACCAGCTCATTTTACAGATGAGGAAACTGAGGCCAACAGTGTTAAGTGACTTGCCCAGAGTCACACGGCTAGTAAGTGTCAGAGGCTGGATTTGAACTCAGGAAGAGGATAGTACTCCATTCACTGCACCACCTAGCTGCCTGGTAAGATGGTGACTGGCCAGGCCCAAAGAATAATCATTAATGGTACAATGTCTACTGGAAGAATCCTTTGGTAGAATAGCTCATTCCCTGATAGAATACCTGAGCTATGCTCTTTACCTTTTTTTTTTTTATCAAGGACTTGAATAAAGGCATGGATGCCATAGTTATAAAATGTGCAGATAACACAGAGCTGGGAGGGATGGATATCTGATTCAAGAACTTCAGAATCTAGGCTAGAGCACAGGGCCAAATAAGATGAAATAATGAGATGAAATTTAACTGAGGCAAATGTAGAATCTTACATTTGGGTTAAAAACAATCAGCTATGCAAAAACAACAACACTGAGAAGTTATGGCTAAAGAACCATTCGTCTGAAAAAGATCTGGAGGTTTTAGTGGACTGCAAGCACAATATGGGCCAACAGTGTGATATGGCAATCAAAAATACTAATGTGATCTCAGGCACAACATCCAGAAAGAGGCAGATGATAACCCTGTTGTTCTGGTCAGACTGCATCTGGAACATTGTCATCAGTTCTCTGGAGACCACATTTTAGGAAGGATATTAATAACCTGGAAAGCATCTGAAGGAATGTAACTAGGACTATGAACAGACTTGAACCCATGATATGTGAGGATCAGGTAAAGAAACAGCAGGTGTTTATCCTAGAGAAAAAGTGAAGATGACAGCTGGATTGGAGTATTTGAAGGGATGCAATGTAGAAAATGGATTCGATTTGTTTTGTGTGATCCTAGAGGGAGGAGGCTATGGAGAATTGAAGGAGTGAGGGGCAGAAGTTGCAGAGAGGGAGATGTAGGCTTAGGAAAGGACAATCTTGCTAACCATTAGATGTCTCCAAAAGTGGAATGGGTTGTCTTGGGAAGAATAGCGTTCTCTCTCACTAGAGACCTTCGAGCAAGGCCAAACGATTACTTTGGGGGAATCTCATCGAGAATATCCTTGTTCAGGTAGAGGTTGGCCCAGATGGCCTCTTAGGCCCTCTGCCATCTCTGGGATGCTGTGATTCTGTGTTTGGACCCTTTGCCATGATCCAGACACCACCATATGCCAGGAATTACAAATATAGCACCTGTTGACTGATCTTCCTTGGTTCATTCAAATCCCAACAGATGGGTCCCTGATGAACAGATACAACCTTCTACAGGAAAGAGCAAACACTATGATAAAAGAGAAGTGAACAGAACAGATTACCTGGTGGTTAGCTCTTCTACCTGTGACTCCAGTGGCACCTCTGAGAGCTGACTCAAGGACAGGTCCCTCCTCTCACTCACATTTAGGTTATGTCTTGCATTGTTAGCAGGCAGTCCTGTGTAATAGTATGAAAAGTAAATTCAGTGATCCCCCAAAGGCTGATTCTTATGCTTAAGGTTTCAGAGATCTTTATTGATGCCTACCCTTATCTCTTTGGTCATCTGTTGAATTCCTATCCAGTCTTTTAATCCCTACTTAAATGTCGCTATCCCCAGAAAGTCTTCCCTACTCATCCCTGCTGGTTAAGAGGAGCTGAGAGCAATTTAAAAAATAAATTACAAAAACATAACCCATTTGTATTATTGTATCTATATTTGCAGAAACCTCTGTTGATCTCTCCTGTCAGTAAAAGCTATTATGAGCAAAAAAAAAAAATTAGAGCCAAAACTTACTGTATTCCCTAATAATAGTTTATATTCAGCAGCATGTTGTAGTGAAAAGAACACTGGACTTGATATCAGAAGACCTGGATAATAGCTTTGGGCAAGTCACTTATACTCCAAGAGCCTCAGTTTACTTCTTTGTAAAACAGGGACGATAATACTTGTACTCAGAGCAGTAACTAGGAATTTTTGGCACCTGCACAAACACTCCAAAGCATGCCGACAGCAAGTGGAACTGTAGGAAGGCAAATAAAGTTGGTATGGATGGGGTGGGGGGCAGGCAGACACCACCCTATGGTTCCAGGCAGAAATCTTGGGACACAACGAAGCTGCTGGTGAGGTTACCCACATGCCTCCTCCCAACCTCATCCCTCTTATTCCACTAGAAGGCAAACCACTGGAGAGTTTCTTATTTTAACTACTCATTCTTGATTATTAAGTGCTTAAAGTCAGTTGTCTCTTCACCTACCATCCAAGAAGGCTGATGACCTGGGGACTGGGTGGGGGTGGGAATGGTGACCTTGAGAACAAAGAGAGGGATGCTTTAGGGGAATGGTTTGAAAGGGGGTTTGAAGCCCCTCTCTCCTATTTTAGGATTGGATTATGTAAAGTTATATTAAAGTCTACCTTCATTTTGCAGAGCAAGAAACAGGCCTCTGAGAGGGGAGTCCCACAGTCATAGAGAAAGGCAATTTTACTCTTGAAAATCATCCAATGACCCTATTAGGATCCACTAACAAGATCATCATAAACCTCAAAGGAGTAAAGAGAAACTTTACTAGGCTGGCCAGGAAATCTGGATCTCTTAAGTTGCCTGGATGGGACAGACTGAAGGTGAATGTGAAATATCTGCAGAGTAGTTCCACACAGTTAAGTTACCTCCTAGGAGAGCATAATAGGTATGATGGGTTATGGATTTGTGTTTTAAGTACTTGTCAATGTGTTAATGTTATCAGTCTTTTGTATTTTAAGCAACTCTTTTGTGGTGGAGGAAATAAACTGCCATCCTAAAGCTGATATTTTTTGTACATTAAAGACTTTTTCTAGGTGGGACCCTGTTAAAGTATTTTAAGGAGACTACAGACATGAGCCAGAGTGCTACTCTAAAATGCAGAGCTGAAGAAAAGCCCAATCCTCTTCTTTGGGATCTTTTTGCTTCTAGGATGAATTTAGGTTCCCTGTGAGTTCTGAGCAGGAGCTCTCCTTCTGGGCCACTGGTGACATCACAAATGTCAGCCATTATTATTATACTCAAAACCCTAGACACAGAAGAATGTTTTTCCTATGTCCAGGGTTTAGAGTATAACACATATATCCATATATATTTTAACTATCTGTCTGCCTATGTATCTATGTATCTATGTATCTATCTGCTGTCTATGTATCTATGTATCTATCTGCTGTCTATGTATCTATGTATTTGTGCATCTATCTTAATATCTGTGTATCTATCTGTCTATGTATATCTATGTATGTATGTATGTATGTTTGTATCTATCTATCTACCTATCTATCTATCCATATGAAGTCTTTAACTGATCCAAATAGTCATGCCTTTGTTTATAAACAGGGAAAGAAATATCTATTAATAAAACCACATTATTCAAAAAAGTTAAGGGTCTTTCCTTCTTCAGACATCACAAGCATTTGCGCCTCCAATAAACTTATCATGAATTACTGTGCATCAAAGCGTTCTGGATAGGTATCCTACCCCTCTAATAGATTGTAAATTTCCATAAGGGTGGGGACCTTTGTAGCAGAATCAAAATAAATGATTGCTGAATTTTCTTAATCAAAACACTGTAGGTGGTGAGAGGAAGAGGAAATCAGCTCTGGATGGCTCAGGGAAAGTCAACTATCCCACAGAGATAGGTCAAGGAATAAGATGATTTAGAGCTGGAAGGAATCTTTGGACGTATCAAAACAAGGAACTGGAAGGTAACAGATATTTTACATGTGAGGACACTGAGGTCAAGGAAGGGAAATGATTTCTGGAATGTCACACAAGTGGCAGAGGCAGGATTTTTCTTTCTTTTCTCTTCCTGTGACTCTAACCCTCCCTTCATGAAACTCAGAGCAAGATGGAGGATTATTGCAAGGGCTTACTACCCTGGCTCTCCCCCCACATCCCTGTTTGGCTCAAAGAAATCACATTCCCTGATACAGTTGTGCCCATAGTTGGAAAGGCATGTGGGGGGAAGGGATCAGGGAGAGAGCCAGGAAACAACATGAGACATCCGTGTTCTCATCTCTCTCTGCCCCACCCTCTCCTGCTGAGACAGCTTTCCACCAAACTCTCCCAGCCTCCCAACCTACTGACAAACTCCCACCCTTAAAACCACCAGGCCTGAGTCAATTCAATTCAGTTCCATTCAGTTCAGCTCAATTCGGTGCAATCAAATAAACATTCATTAAGTGCCTACTGTGTGTGAGGCCCTGGGCTCAGTACTGGGAATACACAAATGAAAAATGACATTGTCCCCGCTCTGATGTTAATGTTAAAGTGTTATATAAATGTCAGATGAATCTGTGATCTCATCAGCGTCTGTAGAATCGCTCTATTGGGGCAGATGGTAACTCTCATTTTGTGTGACTTTCATCCTCGTGCCCCTTGAAGTCCCCCAAAGGAGGCCCACTCAACATATGAGGAACCTCCCTTAGCTCTCTCTACTGTGGAGAACACAGGCTGTCCATCAGCTGTCACTTACCCTAGCTACCTGACCAGCCCACCTCCATTGTTAGTCAAACACCTCTTTAGTGATCTCCTCTACCTTGCTGTTCCTGTGTGATTAATTCTTTCTTGGTCATATGTGCTCCAGCCTTCTCACATCCCCCTCCCCAATGCAACAGCTCTCCATTGCCTTCTGGATTACCCACAGATTTAATTCTTCAGAGACTATTATTCCATGATTCCAAGTCATAGTGCATCACTAGAAAAATATTGGTATTGCAAAGGTGGGCTGTCTTTGTTTCAGAGAGAAGCTTAGAATCATTAAAAGATAGCTGCATTATCACCCAAATGTGGTCCAAGCTGGTCTCCTCCTATTTAGTTCTGGCCCTGGATTTTTCACCCCGGTGTCTGTCCATCTAAATCAACATTAGAGTTTAGAAAGACAAGAGGCATTCTTTGTCCACTTGGTTGGATCCATGAAGATGGTTAGGCTGCACTTTTTAAAAAGGATTATGGACTTTTTGAGTAGGCTTTTCAGTGTCTTGGGACTGATGAAATTAGCACAATGTCACCCACAAACACCTACTTCACAGGGTTGTTGTAAGGATCTAAGGGATATAAAGTGCCATGTAAACCTTAGAGTGTTATACAAATACAATTATTATTGTCATTATGATCATTTTTATTATACCTCACTTGATATTAAGAATTAGAGGTTCATTAAAGATATCTTTCAAGTAACCTTGTATGATTTTAACATATGCATGAGAGAAGAAGAGAGTGTTTATGGTGGTATTGTGTTCTAATGAACACATTTTTTTGGTAGTAAAAAAGCAATAAACACCGTAGCACTTTGTATTCTGTGAGCATCTTCATCAATTCTGTGTCAGCACACAGATGGTCTGCTTGTGGAAACCTCTCTGTCACCCTCTCATGCCTTTACCATGGATGTGCCTGAGATGTATGTAGATTATTGTCAGGACGATTTTCTGGAGATGGAAAGCAGGTACGTGGGCCAGTAGTATTTTCTCAGTTGCTTTTCAAGGAGTAATAAGTCTGTGGCTTTTCTAATCCTTTCCTTTTTTAAATATCTTGAGAATTGAGACCTCAATAATATCAAGAGTGGTAGCCTCTAATACAAATCTCCTGTATGTATAACAGGTCTATTATTATAAAGATGACAATGATAGTTAGGGGACAAATGGATGAGGAGCCAGGGTAAGGAAGGGTCAGAGAAGGCATAGTCAGACAGGTCGGAGGAGGTTTAGGACAGAGCAGTATCATGAAGAGCAATGGAAAAGTATCCAGGAAAACACAGTATGTGTGTGTGTGTGTCTGTGTGTGTGTGTGTGTGTGTCTGGGTCTGTGTGTGTATATGTGTATGTCCACAGCGTCAGATGGTACAGAAAATTAAGGAAGACAAGGACTGATTAAAGGGCTGCTGAATTTGGCAATCAGGATGTCCCTATCTGGCAATCAGGGTGACTAGAGAAGGTTGTTTCAGGAGAGAGATAGGGATAAAGGTGGGACTATAGGGGGCTGAGCAATGAATGAGTGGGTGGGGAAGTGAGGGCTATAAGTGTAGAACTTTGGCAGGAAACAGGCCAGAGGCTGATTATAAGAAAGGGAACAGGTTCAAGACAAAGGTCTTTTATCTGCCTTTTCATGTCTCCTCAGAGTAGCTATGACTACTGTTGAAAATCACATTCATATTTATAAATGAAATACCACTCAACCTGCAAAAATCTTATAGAAAGAATACTGGACTGGATGTGTAAAGAACCTATCTCCGGTCTTTAGCTGAATCACATTTTCTAGTAGGACCTCAGTTTTCTTACATTTCAAATGCAAGTGCCTACTATGTGCCAGACACTTGCTAAGCACTTTCCAAGGGCCACTTGACTAGAATTCAAACCAGTTGGATTCAAGTCTCAGCTCTGTCACTTGGGAAAATCAGCAATCTATCTGAGTCCATTTTCCTCTGTAAAAATAATAATATTT